CGGTTCCTAGGTTGCTACTCCAGCGACTGAGAAAACGTGGAAAGAGCATGATGGTCTTGTCAAGATGTGGATCTATGGTACAATCACAGATTCACTCGTCGAAACCATCCTCACGCCGAAGAGCTCAGCACACGATCTTTGGTGCACTCTTGAGAATCTGTTTCGAGACAACAAAGAAAACAGAGCATTACAACTCGAGAACGAGCTCCGGACCATCTCCATCGGCGATCTCTTTGTTCAAGAATATTGCCGCGAATTGAAGTCCCTCTCTGATCTTCTAGCCAACGTAGACTCTCCCGTCACCGATCGCCAACTCGTTATGCACTGCCAGAATGGACTCAATGACAAGTTCGATGGAATTCATAATGTCATCCGTCACAGAAACCCCTTCCCCACCTTTCACAATACTCGATCCATGCTCCTTGCTGAAGAAGAAAGACTCAGCAAACAGACCAAACCTGCCGTGACTCATACAGACACGACAGCATCACCAAACACTCTGTTTGCTGACAGCAGCGCGTCCAACCCTGAGCCCCAAAAATTGAACAACAACAACAACAACAACAACAGAGACGGCGGACGAGGAAATCGCCAACAACAGTTATCCGTTCTTCCCAGGCACACCACCGATGATGCATTATCCATACCCTCCTTTCAAGCCAACTCAATCATCTCAACGCCCAAGCATTCTCGGGCCGTACTCACCACAACCAACACCTCAAGCTCATTTTGCTCAAGCTGCTGCAACACCAACATATTCAATGCTTCATCAGGCGCTGGCCTCAGCATTCAACACAATGAGCCTTCAAGATCCGGCAGTGGCTCCCTGGTACATGGATAGCGGAGCTACCAACCATATCACGGCTGATCAAGGTACTCTCTCGTCTGTTTTTAATAAGGGTATAACTCGTTCTGTTCTTGTAGGTGACGGTTCTCTTGCTCCTGTTACAGAAATGGGACATTTTTCTCCTCGCTCCTCTACTAAAAATCTTCTTCTTAAAAATGTGCTTGTTTGCCCATCTATTATCAAAAACCTTATCTCTGTCCGCCAGTTTGTATCCGAAAATAATTGTTCTGTTGAGTTTGACCCTTTTGGTTTCTCTGTTAAGGATCTCCTTCACAGGACAACTCTGCTCCGATGTGACAGCCCTGGACCTTTTTACTCGGTGACACCATAAACCATCCCCTCTCGTCCCATTGCTCTCACCGTCGGTGTCCCTCTTTGGCATCAGCGTTTAGGTCACCCGGGTAGCTCTATCAATCGTTCTTTGTTTTCTTTGGGTTTTTCTAATAATATTGCCGACTCGACAACTTTTTGTCATGCGTGCAAAGTGGGTAAACACACTCGTCTCCCTTTTGTTTCTTTTTCTACAATTGTTACTGCACCTTTTGAGATTATTCATTCTGATATTTGGATATCTCCTGTGTCTAGTAACTCTGGCTTTAAATACTACCTTCTGTTTTTGGATCATTTTACTCCTTACACTTGGGTCTATCCGTTACACAGAAAAAGTGAAACCTTTGCCAAATACTTACACTTCTCTACATATGTGCGCACCCAATTCAACAGCTCAATCAAAGCTCTTCAATGCGATAACGGTGGCGAATACACCAGCCGAGTCTTCCTCGATCACTTGGCTGCCACCGGAACCTCCATTCGCTTCTCCTGCCCTCACACATCACAACAGAACGGACGGGAAGAGCGAATGCTTCGCACTATCAACAATCTGGTGTGCACACTCCTCATTCAAGTAAACATGCCGGTTTCTTTTTGGGTCGAGGCTCTGCATACGGCTGTTTACACTCTCAACCTCATTCCATCTTCTGCTATTCAAAATAATATACCATTCACTCTTTTCTTTAATAAGCCTGCTTCTTACTCTCACCTTCATGTTTTTGGTTCTTTGTGCTATCCAAATACAGCTTCCACATCACCTCACAAATTGGCACCTCGATCAATGGCTTGCGTATTCCTTGGATACCCGCTGAGCCATCGAGGATATCGTTGCATTGTACTGTCCACACGCAAGATCGTTATCTCTCGCCATGTCACATTTGTTGAGGATGTGTTCCCCTTTTCTGCACTTTCTTCTCCTCCAAGCTTACCTTTTTCTCCACCTCCTGTGCCTTCTCTGATTCCACCCATTATCCGACCAACCTTTCCTCCAACTCCACTGGCGGCTCCTCCTTCCCCGCCAGCACTACAACCCAACCAAAACACACATTCTATGATCACTCGGAGAAAAACTGGCATCATCAAACCTCGTGTTCCCCTTTGCCTTCATACAAAAATTGTTTCTCCTCTTCCTTTGTCTCATGTACACGCTGCAAAGGATCGTTACTGGAATGGAGCAATGCACGAGGAATATGATGCCCATATTAAACGCGGTACGTGGGAGTTAGTCCCTCGGCCTCCAGGTGTTAACATAATACATTCTATGTGGCTTTTTCGTCATAAGTTTAATGCAGATGGAACGCACAAGAGACACAAGTCTCGCCTCGTCGCTAATGGAAAATCACAACAACCTGGCATCGACTGCCTCGACACCTTCAGCCCCGTGGTCAAGCCTGCCTCTATTCGATCCTTGCTCCACATTGCGTTAGCTCGCAACTGGCCCCTTCGTCAGTTCGATGTCAAAAACGCATTTCTCCACGGCGACTTAGCAGAAACCGTCTACATACACCAGCCACCCGGCTCCGTTGACAAGTCAAAACCAAACCACGTCTGCCTGCTCCGTCGATCGATCTATGGCCTCAAACAAGCTCCGCGCACATGGTACACAAGGTTCGCGTCCATTGCTAAAAAGATAGGATTTGTGCAGAGCCAGTGTGATTATTCATTATTCATCATCAACAAAGGTCCAGACATTGCGTATTTATTGCTCTATGTTGATGACATTATCCTTACCGCATCAAATCCAACCCTTCTCAATCGGATCATCTCTGGTCTCTCCTCTGCGTTTGACATCACCGATCTCGGCCAGCTTCATCACTTCTTTGGCATTGGGGTCACCTACAACGAAAAAAGCATGTTTCTCAGCCAGCAAAATTACATTGCCGATATACTACACTGTGCCTCCATGACAAACTGCAATCCCTGCAATATACCTGTTGACACAAAGCCAAAGCTAGCCGCGGATGAGGGCACACCCATCTCTGATCCTTCCCTCTATCGAAGCATTGCCGGAGCACTGCAGTTTCTGACACTCACACGGCCGGATATCTCTTTTGCTGTCCACCAAGTCTGCTTACTCATGCATGATCCCCGTGAAGCTCATCTTGCAGCTCTGAAACGCATTCTTCGATATCTCAAGGGTACAATCTCTCACGGTCTTCAGCTGAACAAATCATCTATCACTGATCTCGTGGCATATTCCGACGCAGACTGGACAGGCTGTCCATCAACACGACGCTCCACATCTGGCTACTGCGTCTTTCTTGGCGATAGTCTAATCGCCTGGTCCTCAAAGCGCCAGAACACAGTCTCCCACTCGAGCGTAGAAGCTGAATACCGTGGTGTGGCCAACGCTGTTGCAGAAACAACTTGGATACGTAACTTACTAATGGAACTCGGCTGTTCTAGCCCCAAAGCAACCATTGTGTACTGCGATAACATCTCAGCTGTGTATCTGTCATCTAATCCAGTTCAATACCAGCGCACGAAACACATTGAGATCGATCTGCACTTTGTCCGAGAACGAGTCTCCATGGGTCTTGTTCGCGTCCTTCATGTGCCAACACACCTTCAGTACGCAGACATTTTCACGAAGGGCCTCCCTTCTCCATTGTTCACCGACTTCCGCTCCAGTCTCAACGTCCGACAAACTCCGCTTCGACTGCTGGGGAGTGTTAGTTAGGATATGATAATATCCTATTGTTAGAAAATAAGTATATTCCTATATAGATAAGTATCGGCAGATACATATGTTGTATATATACTTATTCACGTGATCAATGGAAATCATCAAGTCTTATACACTTTCAAGTATTTAGTGAAATAATATCTAAAGCTCTATTCAAATTCTATGAAACATATTTCGTACATACCAAATAATATAACAAAAATGATATAAAAGTCTAATTCTAAAATTCAAGTAATATATATATATATATATATACAACAAAATCAACTATTTTCTTATTTTACAAAAAGAATAATCTAACAATAGAGAAATCTAAAATTCATTTTTTTGTAAACTTACAACTCTATAAATTAATAAACTTTCGTAGTTCCAATATTATTAATAAATAGATTTTTTAATGTATGTTTTAATAATCGATTATTCAGTTTATAAACTAGACCATTTCCATATATGTAGTTTCTTAAAAATAACATTTATTTGATTTATACTGTATAGTTAAATCCATATCGACCAACACAAAAGTATATATCTATACCATTTTCTTTATTTTGGTTCGGTTTTGATTTAGTTTAGTTCGGGTTTACTGGATGGAAGTTATGTCTCTCTATTCCGTATTTGTTGTTCATTTCTTGTTGATGAAGGAAACTCTCGACCAAACAAAAGAAGGGAGAATTGGATCCAGGTGTAGTGGATAAAGAGCATTGGCATCATATAAACAATTTTCTAATTTTGTCTAACACCTTTAGATATATGTAAAACAGTAAAAGCTGGTAACTCTAAAAAACAAGAACTCCAGAAATAAATAATTAAAATTTTAGAGACGGTTTTTTTTTTTTTTTTGCTAAAATTTGGAAAATTTAGAGATAGTTAAAATAAGGCAGAAGAACAACGAAGCAGAGAATTTAAGAAAGAAAGAAAAAACTTAAAGGAGGTTATAACGTATCTGTCGTTAAATCTGTTGAATAGTTCGCACACAGCTCAATATTTACCAAAGTCAATTGGGTTCCCACGAAACGGTGGGGCCCATCGTCACCAGGTCTTATACATGATCTCATCTTCCGCATTAGCCTTTTATTGATTTCAATTTGTAAGAATGTTTCAAACAAAAATTGTCTGAAATTTCAGGAGGCAAAAAAGATGGGAAAGGGCTGGTTAACATGCGTCTCGGCCTCTTGTTTATCTACAGGAAAAGACAAAAAAAATCAAGTTGATTTCTAGAATTTACTCTATAATTCTTGGATAATGATTATGAATATGTAATAAGGATTGCTGATTCTTTGATTTTTGTGTTGTATTTGTCAAGAAACCGGAGAAGGAGAAGAAGAAATGGTTTGGGAAACAAAAGAGTAGAGAGTCCATTGAATTCTCTTTGGAGGAGACTCCTCCGGTAGATCCATCATCTTCCTCCATCACTCGGCCATCTCCTCCTCCTCCTCCGTTGCCTGATTTTGTTCCTCAACCGTTGTTGCCACCACCATCCCCTCTTCCTCAGTTGCCTGGCTTGACTCCTCAGCCGTTGTTTCCACTATCATCCCCTCCTCCTCCTCCCCTTCCATTTCAGCCATCTCCGAGTAATAAAGGCTATGGTGCTTCCAAAGAAGCAAAGACTAGACAAGCTCTGGCTCTCGCATCCGCTGTTGCAGCCGAAGCAGCGGTGGTGGCTGCACATGCTGCCGTAGAGGTTGCACGTCTCACAACAAATACCTCAACACGTCAAATTGTGGAGTCAAAGGAGGAAGCTGCGATAATAAAGATCCAAAATGCGTATAGATGTTACAAGGTATACATAAAAATCATTCATTCCCTTAAATGCTTCTCTTATTACGATAGATTTAGTGTTACTAGCATGTGAAATTGGAACATTCGAATATAGTCCGGTCAGAGAATAAAAATTATCTAATATGAAAATGTTAAATATGATCAAATATGTAAAACTACGAAAACTTAACGCATAAATATACATTCTATTTATTGGGGTTTCACAGGCAAGACAAACTCTACGTATGCTACGAGGAATGGTCAGGCTAAAGACGTTGCTGCAAGGAAAATACGTGAAAAGACAGATGAACGCGATGCTTAGCTCAATGCAAACTCTTACACGTTTACAAACACAGATTCAAGCGAGGAGGAATCGGTTATCTGAAGAGAACAAAGCTCGTCACATGCTGATCCAGCAGAAGGGTCACCAGAAAGAACGCCAAAATCAGAATTTGGTAATTAATTAACCTCCATACCTTTTACTACAATGTGTGAACAAATGCTCATAATGATCATCAATTTTTCTTTCCAGATTATTGGGGGAGATTTTGATTCCAGCAATAAATCAAAGGCACAGATTAAAGCACAGTTTGTTAATCGAAAAGAAGCTTCTGTAAGACGTGAGAGAGCTTTGGCGTATGCTTACAGTCATCAGGTATATATAAAACTAATAGAACTTCATTGTGATAGTTATCCATATATTTATTTATGTTGTTAAATAAACAGCAAACGTGGAGAAACTCTACAAAACTTCCACATCAGACCATGATGAACGCAGACACTCCGCATTGGGGTTGGAGTTGGCTTGACCGGTGGATGACTTCTCGTCCATGGGAAGCTCAATCCAACGACGATCCAGCCTCCCTCAAATGTGAGAATTCCATCAAGACTTCTCCTGCCAGATCTAAAGAACCAAAATCAGGCAGCCAAAAAGCTATCCAGAGCGAGGGGGTTAATCGTAGGCATAGCATTGGTGGTCGATCATCTAAAAATGTCAAAGATGATGAGAGCCTTGGTAGTTCTTTATCACGCAGAAGTTCCTTTGGTAATACAGAAACTGAAAAATCCAAGGCTAGTGAGGAAACATCTAGCAACATGACTAACCCCCAACCGTTGAAGAAGTCTAATTCTAGTGTGGAAACAGCAAGCAACTTGGGTAACCCCAGACTCTTGAAGAAACCCAAGGCTAGTGTGGGAACAGCAAAAACCGTTGTTAACACGCAAGCTATGAAATCAAAAGATAGTGTGGGAACAACAAGATACTTGGCTAACACGCAAGTTTTGAAATCTACGGTTAGTGTCGGATCAACGAGCAACTTGGGCTCCCAAAAGAAGGCTGTTTCCGATAAAAATGAACGTCAGCAAATGGTATTGCCAAAGAAGAGGCTTTCACCGTCTAATTCTCTTGGAACAACAAAGAAGGTTTTGGATTCGGACAAAGCTACAATAGGCGCTGCAAATGGAGAGAAAAAGAGAAGAAATGTTAGTAACGGTTAACCTAAAGTCTCTTTGTTAGCGATTTGATAGATTTAGCATCTCAAATCCGAGATTTGTTTCTATCAGACGCAAGCACAGAAGATGAGGAGTGGAGAAAAAAAGTGTGTGTTTTGTTGTTTTCTTTGAGTTAGTACAATTTACTATTTGTCCGTTTGCGGTTTGGTTTTCTTTCTGTTTTCTTATTTTTGAAATTGTTTCAATTAAAAACCTCTATCTCGCATCGAATCTTTGTTTAATTTTTTTTTGACACTAAACCGTTTTTCTATTACTCAAGTTTGAGATGATGTGAGTAATCAGATCAGAAAAGAACAATTAATGTAAAACAATTCTATGATAAGATCTTGCAATCTTCTAAAGAACTCAAAGTTTGGAAAACAAATATGCAGCATCTTCATAGCCTCCATTTGTGTTGCAAATTTTGGCTAAGCTTTAGGCTCCTTTATCATCGCGATCTAATTCTTTCAGTCTGTTCCAAAACGCTGACATGACGAATGTTATAACATGCTTTCCATTGCCCATTGCATTGTTTTTACTTCCAAATGTAAAACACTCTCTCGCCTTCTTAAGTTTCGCATTTTAATTATCTGGATCTTTCCAAAGCTAACCTCCCAAACTGGTGCGATCTGGATCACCTTCAATGCATGTTCTGGAAACCAATACACGTCCCAGAAAGGGGAATAGGCCATATCAAAAACTAATGGACTCATTGGAGAATTTATTGGCATTATTCATGGGCATTGGACGGACAGCAGGCTATGGGCCTCTATGAAACCATTATAAAGATAGGAGTGACTATGGAAAAATATGGACATCTAGTATGTAACCTTATTGAACAGGAAATGGATGGAAGGAAGGTGGTTGGACATGAAATGGATTGGGTGATTTAATGTTATTGAGAAATGGTCTGGTCAAACAAACATGGGCGGGAAAAGAGTTGGAAATAGAAGATGAAGAACCAGAGGTGTGGAAATGGAACATGAGGAGGATCTTTATCATCTAAATGAGTATAAAGGTCAACTTGGTCGGACTATGAACCACAACTACTGTACTGGTTTTTTGTGGGGATCCATAAATCATTCACCAAGCATATATTATCCAGACTAATGATCGGAAATTTGTTGCTACTATGCTCTTGTGGAGCAGCAGTGATCATCTCATTAGCATTAAACCAGGATTGACATTCACTTTCGGCATATCAGAATAGCTTCAGAGGATTTCTATCAATTCTCCTAAATAATTTATCATTCCCGGCCTTCCAGATATACCAGATTATCCAGGGATAAGGATCACTGTCTCACTACAAGAAACACTAGTAGAAATCTTACATATAGCCACGAAACAGCCACTTCGAAACCGTGGCTCCGTAAGCCAAAAAGCGTGGCTATCTGATAAGAAGCCACGATTCAATGTCGAGAAGATTACCGTGGCTATAGCTTCGTGGCTGAAAAAAACCGTGGCTTATCGTGGTTAAAAAGCCACGGTCTTACCACGACAGTTTCGTGGCTTCTAGCCACTATTTTTAGCCACGGTTTTAGCGGTTTATCGTGGCTTTAACAACCACGGATTTTGTCACGTTGTTTTCTCGTGGCATCTTTAGCCACGGTTTTAAGTTTTACAATCGTGGCTTAAACTTGCCACGTTTTTGCCACTTTGTTTTTCGTGGCAATCTATTACCACCCTTTTTGGCTAAATGATTCTATTTTTGATTACAGATTTAATTTACCAATTAAACTAATTGACATTCTAATAATTAATCTTAAACAAAACATGAAATTATATTAATGGAAAGTTGGTTTACAAAATACTTAACATAAAATTAATATTAAACAAAGCATTTAGTCTTAAGAACAAAAGGATAGAGTTTTAAGAATNTGCTACACTTGCATCTAAAAGCCGTTGGCTTGGGAAGGCTGAGAAGGGTCTTGAGCTTGAGTGGAAGGAGCTTGTTGCTGAGATGCTTGGGGTATAAATGTTTGGAGGAGCTGATTGATTGCAGCCCTTGTTGCTGAGACGTCCTCCTTCATTGTTGCCACATCCCCCTTTACTGAACTTACATCAGTAAGCACGCTTTCCAAGCTTGTCTGCAGTCCATTCACACGCAACTCCAAGTCCAGATTGCGGGCAAGTGCAGCTGGGAATCTTGAAGATGGTGCATTTTCCCTATATTGGGCACTACCGAGTCCATAGATATGCCCCCTCTTACCCTTAGCATTCTGCAGCAAAGGTAAAACATATTCAGTCAAAACCAACTCCACATACAACATTATAAATAAGAGGCTTGCTTATAACTCCTAATTAGTACCTAATTCTACAGAGGAAACAAACAATTAATATCTATAACGCTGTTGAGCCCGAATTTCGCCCGTTAGCTGAATTAATGGGCTGAATAGTTGAAATCATTTGCAAGGCATTACGAGCCCATTAGAAAGCCTTCCCTCAAATGAGAATCAGACGAAATCGTTACCTATCGATAACGACAGGTCACGAACAAAAGACTCGGGACCTCGTTCATAAAACAGCTAACGAGAAACAGCTCCGGAAAAACGTGCAAGACTTAGTCAAGAGGAAGCTGTTGCAAATCCCGCAACTCACGGAGATAATCATGGAGGCTCCGCCGGAAGAAGTTGGACGTGACCTAGTGCTATATAAAGAAGAGAAGAGATCAGAGAGAAGGGATTCGACTCATTCAAGAGAAAGAGACTCCAATACACTTTGTTCTTAGTCATTCTCTATAAATCATTGTTCTTTCTATTCAGATCGTCAAGATCATCTTTGTAAACTCTTTTATTACCAAAAGTCAATATAAACAACGTATTCATTCATACAAGTTCCAACAGGATTCAGCCCACGATTATCTTTTCCCAATCTATACCTAACCTAAACTAGGAAGTGAGTTTTACCCCTCACATTTTGGCGCCGACTGTGGGGATCAGATAATTGAATCCTTCACTCCGTAACTTGAGAATGGATCCATCCAACCAGGCAACGAATCCATCCATCCCGGATCCCGTGATCCAGATCGACGGATCACCGAATAGAAGAGATCCGGACCCTCAGGATCCGGAACCTCAACCCGCTGACCTTCGATCCGAGCAACAGCCTCCGGCTAACGCTCAACCGAACCGAACTGGGATAGCTAACCCAAGGTCTTCCGGTGGAAACAACACCGGAACTACTCCTCCTGAAAACCCTCAACGCCAACACACCCCGCATCATTCGGAAGCTCAGCTATCCGAAATGCGCCGAATGATGGAGCAGTTGGTAGAAAGAGCTCAGGACAACGAGCGTACCTTGCAACAGCTAACTGCCCGGCAGCAACGGTTCGAAGAGGTGACGAGATCTCTAACCGAGACAACTCAGCCATCGCAACGCCAAGGCTCAGGAATCGCCTTTCGAGATCGACTCACCGAACCCACGTTCCCTCGCGGACGCCTAAACTTTTCCCCCAACAGCATTGCTCATAATGGGCAAGAGCCTGTTCTCCGGAAACCTCATACCGGGACAGCCCCAGTATTTAGTCCGCCCGTAACTAGTGCTATGGGAAGTAACATAGCGACGACTAGCTCAGCACCCAATAGGGTTCACGAACACAGCACCTGATTGCCACCTCCGCCACCTATCTTTAGGTCCGGAGAAGGGATGTCTCCCCCTCCTAGAGGCAGGGCACCGACCTCAGCTTACCAAAATGGAAGCGCGACCCCTAACCGAGACAACCCGAGGACAGAAGCTGATCCCACAGCTCACCCCCTGGGTTACGTCCCTCAAAGTGGCTCTAGAGCTAACGAGCGATTTAATCCGCCTAACGCTTGGGACAACGGCAACACTCGACTCCACCAAGAATCTTCTCATCAGATTCCCCGCGAAGATCCAACTGTCCTTCCTCTAGAAGGACCTGAGGTTATTCGCCGATACATGGAGCAAACTCACGCAGCCCTCCAGAAGCTGAATGCTCAAGTGCATAAAGCAACAAGCTCGGCTCCCGAAATCGAGAGCTTGATTGAGGAAACCCGTGGGACCCCATTCACAGACAAAATCGCTAGCTCTTACATAAGAGATACCCGAAAAATTAGGATTCCCGAATACGACGGGACCTCGGACCCCAAGGCTCATTTGAGAGCCTTCCGCTTAGCTATAGTGAAAGCTCATTTCACACGAGAAGAATGCGAAGCAGGTT